AGGAATTTGTTGAGCGCCTGCTATCTGTCAGGCACCAGGTTAGCTCCTTGGGATACACGAGGATCAAAAGGGACCCACTGCCTGAGTTCATAATCAAATAACTTACATTTCAGTGTCGCTAAGCACTGTTTTCTCTCAGGTCCAAAAATAAACCTACAAATGGGACACAGGAAAAAGCATCTAAGTCTGTGTCCTGAGCCTATAGGTCAGTGCATGGGAACTGTTCAGTGCTGACTTCCCAGGGTGGGGAGCCTGATGAAGTATAGTAAGTCCTCCTTTGGAAAACTGCTGTTTGAACTACTCTGTTTTTCTTAGACAGTCTCTTAATCTGTAGGTGAACTCTGTTATTTTTAGATAGTCTTTTATTCTGTAAAATAATTGTTTTAGTTTGAATAATTGAAAAAGATGAAAAACAAAACAAAACAACTTAGCTGTCTGACCTTGCAAGCTAACCATCTGACTTAACAGGCTAATACTGATACTGATAATAATTCCCATATTCTTATGCCAAGTGTTAGTTCATTATGTATTCAAGGTTACAAACTGTTTGTAACAATGACCTACACAGAGCTTTTTGTGAAATCTGTAGACAAAGGGCTCAAAAAGGTATAAATTGAAAAAACTTCCTCTATGTGTTTGCTCAGAGATTTGGGAAACACCTCCCTCTGGGCCTGCGCGAATAAAGACTCCTAATTAATTGGCTCATTAAGGCGTCTCGTATCTATTTCGCTGATTTGAGATACAACACTGAGGCTCTGACTAAATCAACGTGATCTCCTCTAGGTGGGAAGTGGAACCCATTCACTGGGTTTCCCTTCCACTACGGCCTCCCTTCTTGAGCACAGAATGAATGAAACAGACTAGTTAGAAGGCAAGGAGAGACCTGTCAGAAGGCCCCTGCAATAAACAGTATCTGTTTTACTACATTAAACCATGGCTAACTGTGACTGGTTACAGGGTACTAGTTTATCCTTAACACTTATTTTGTCTTAATTTTATTGTGTATTAATATAGATAAATATTCTTAGAGGTAAAGATTGAGTAAATATAAAATGTTCATGCGATAATGTCCATATAAAGTTTATCTATTAAATGTTATGGCCTAACCCTTTTTATGGGTTTTGTGGATATGGAGAATAGCTGGTTGAAAACAAAAATATTGTTCAATTCTTAAAGAAAATAACTTTAGCCAGTAGATTTGACCTCCCCCATTGCCAAATACTTATTTATATTGTTGAGAGAAAATATTAAAATATATGATCTGGTTTGAGTTTCAGCTCTTAGTATTTCCTTTACTTAGAAATAAATTAACAATAAATGACACTTTTACATTCACCCCGGCTCCCTCCCCCATAGAAGGCAAAATAAATAATTCACAAATTAAGTTATCAGCTAAAAACACTTAAAAATCAGTTCTCATCCTAAAAGGAAGTACCTCATTGCTGAGGGTTGAAATTTTCATAGGAATTTCTTTAATTCTTTTTTGTCACATTCTTCTTATTTTTTCTTTAAGAAAACTAAAATTAAAAAAAATAGAAACTCATTTTATAATAAAAATAAGCAGTCACTTTGTGTTCTTAATTTTTTAAATATATTTTTATTAATTTCAGAGAGGAAGGAAGAGGGGGAGATAGAAACATCAATGATGAGAGAGAATCATTGATTGCCTGCCTCCTGCAGGCTCCCCACTGGGGATCAAGTCAGCAACCTGGGCATGTGCCCTTGACCGGAATCGAACCTGGGACTCTTTAGTCTACAGGTTGACGCTCTATCCATTGAGCCAAACCAGCTAGAGCATACGCAGTCACTTTGAAAAGCCATTAATGGTTGTCAAAATTCTCATTTTTTACTGTATCCCAAACTATTACAAAATACTGGCTGTCCCCAACATCTAGTGATCCTATGGCAGCCTCTCATAACTAAAATTTATATATATATATACTTACAGCGAGTACATTTGAGATTTAATTATTAAGAGTTAAGTGAGATACAAAATCACCAAGAGAAAGGGGATGGAATAAAAGATAACTACTAATGCAGTGGAAATACTTTAAAATCCATGTTTGTCCCCACAGTCACATGTCCTCCTTGGCAATCTTTAGGAACGTACAAACCCAAACCAATAACAATGCTGCCAGGCAATGTCTAATGACATCATGGTGACTGGATCCTGTTTCTGAGAGACAGCTGCCTCTAATACATAGCCATAAGCTTTGAGTGCTTGCTCTATTAATTCCTGGGTAGAAATTTAATAAGAATTTGCTTTTTCCCCCTCCAGGTGATAAAGTCATCCCACTCTTTACTCCCCAGTGTGGAAAATGCAATGTTTGTAAACATCCGGAAGGCAACTTCTGTGCGAAAAATGAGTAAGTTTCCATTACTCTCCTTACACAGCCAATGAATTTGCACACTGTTATGCA